TCATATGGAAAGAGCAGTAGAGATATAAAACAAAAGATAGCGCAGGGTAGAGTAACCTTTAACAAAAAGAAGTCACTTCTCTGGTCGCGAACAGTTAATTTAGAAATTCAATTCAATATGGCAAAATGGGTCAACTTTAAATGACGAAATTTCAGTACTACCAACGGCATGCTAATTTAAAAGAATTTTTTATAAGATTTATTTTCTATTAAGCTTCATAAAGGGAAGAAAAATTAGGCAAAGAGCGAATATAGATAGGAGACGAAAGATAAGTGGATGATTTTAGAAGCCAAATAAGTCAGAACGAAAGGAGTAGTAGGGATATAAAGCAGAGGATAGCGCAGGGTCGTGTCACCTTCAATAAAAAGAAGTCACTTCTATGCTCGCGAACGGTTAATTTAGAAATTCGAAAAAAGGTTGTTAAAAGTGTATATTTGGAGCGCGGCGCTGTACGGGTGCGAAACATGGACAGTGGGCGCGGCGGAAAAGAAAACGTTAGAAGCCTTCGAAATGTGGTGTTATAGGCGAATGATGAGGATAACGTGGGTAGAAAAGGTTAGAAATGAAGAGGTATTAGAATGAACAGGAGAACAGAGGACTTGTGATTTTATCAATTGTAGCTGCCGATCTAACCTATTTGACAATAAGAACTTACAGACGCGACTGTTTCTTAATAAGTGCTCGATTTTGGACATATTTTTGATACCCTATGTACGGATCCTTCTTACTATAATAACCGACTTGTAATTTAATGCAATGCTGAGACAGCACTTTTTTCCATAAATATAGTTTAGGCAACTAGACTTTTATAATTTGTTTTTCTGGTCCAAGTTGTATTAGTCGAATTACATTTTCGTGAGGTAATAACCTGTCTTGGTGATGAACTTTTTTCATAAAATCAAGAATAATGCCTCCAGTTCAGTCTCCTCTATTCAATGAAAATGTCTCCATAAATCTCACATTTGTATAACGTAACGATGAAGTTACTTAGGTGTGTAAAAAAGCGGGACTTTGCAGGATAAAAGGGATATATACGACAAAAATGCGCTGCCAGTTTCAAAGCTTGTTTAAAATTATAGGCAGACGAGACGCTTTATGCAATTCACGAGGATAGTAGACACATTTAAAGCCAGTGTTGGTAACACGTTTATGACAACGTCGCACCAAATTATAAAGTTCGGTGTGTGTAAACTAGATATATGTTACTGGGAAAAATTCTAAAAAAAATGCTGTTAAGCTGAGTTTATTGTCTGCCTCGAATATTTAAAAAGTAACTGCCTTTTGCGTAAACCATCAAAGCCAAAAAACACTAGAGCAAACTAAACATCAGCTAAATAATTACAAAGAATATTACCTTTTATCGTAAACTGATTTGGGAAATATTTTAACTATGAATTAGAAGCATTTCAGATGTGGTGTTATAGGTCGATGATAAATATGCTGTGGACGAAAGAGATTAGTAATGAAGAGGTGTTAGAAAGAGTAGAGAGGGCGCTTTGTAAGTTAATAAAAACCAGGAGATATGGGATGATAGGGAACCTTCCGAGACATAGTATGACAATTTCTAAAACATACAGAGTTAGTTTCATCATCATAAGGTCGACAGTTCTAAGACTGGTTGGACACGCACCTCCACTCTTTCCTATCCTGAGCTAATATTCGCAATTATTTCTTTTTTGTCAACGATGGCAAGGTGTAAGAGTAATTTGTTAGTTAGAAACATGTGAATGTATGTCCAGGATAGAATAGTATGGTCATAGTCAAACATTCTTATTCAGAACAATCAACTGACTGATAAAACGAGTGGTCTAGCCTTTAACACGTAATAATTATTAATATAGGTAAATGTGAAATAACAGACAAATATTTCAACAAAGGGTTCTTCATTTCTGTACTCAGCTTAAACATAACGCAACGTACAGGGTACGGCTTACTTGCACAATCCATTATTTAAAGTCATCCGTCGTCAACTACATTCAGGGGTAAATGGTAAAAATCGAATACGATTCTAGACGATTTGGTCTTGCTTGTGGACTAATCCAAAAGTCTAGACCCGCCTCCATAAGCTTTGTGTGAAATGGATTTTACAACCATTTCTACTTATGTATCTAGAAAAACCGTTCGAAATACATTAACATTCAATTCTTTTGAAAATTGCCCATATGGCTTCTCCTAGCTATATCTGGTAAACCGAGCGGCATGACCTAGAGGTTCAGACCACTGCTTAGCATTTGGGAGGACGCTAGTTCGATTCCGGGTCAGTCTGCCTCGGTCCAAGTTTTTCTGTGATTTCCTTAGATCACTTAGACAAATGCTGGGTCAGTAATATTCCACAGATAATATTTTATTCTCTTCTGTTCTCATTTGGTACGTCTCATCTTTCTCACTCTAGTCACCACCCACCCATTCTCACGATTCTTGAAAGTAGGCTGATGAAGGCCTTCTGCCATACCCTCCGACGTAGTCCAGAGGGACTGCCCACCCGTTAGCATTATTGGCTGATAGGAATAAAACACCCAAAGTTTTTTTATATCTGGTAACAGTGTACATAGATTGTATATTTGTAACTGTTTCTTTGCTGAAAAATGCAATAATTCGATCGTTCGTGCTACAAGTCTAAAATTTTCTGGAAGAACTATTTCACTTGGGATGGAATAACATATTGTGCTGTATTTTGTTGGGTGCTTTGGCTTAAACATATAATATACTCTTCAAAAGTTGACGAATATTGAATTACAGGTAGAATTTTAAAACTGACGAAACGAGAAATTACCCTACCATAACAAAGAAAGCTGTTTTAACCCGAAGCATCACATAAAAATTTGTCTTTTTAATTATTCCTCTGTAAACAATAGCGAACTCATTTATCTCACCTACTAAATTATGTATAAACTGCTTTTTTGTAAGGATTGTACCCGGTTTTAAATTAACCTATTGCTGTGCGAAGCTTTTTCGTTAAAATTATGTAGTCGTTAGAAGTTTACTGGTGGGATAGAACAAACATTATTTCTCTTTTTGAATTTAAGCAATTTTTTTATTTAAGAGCGTATTTTTGTTCGTGTTCATCCCAGAGAAACAAAAAGCAAGTAAATTGCATATTTGCTATGTTGTAGGTATACAATTCAACATGTGAGCAATAACAACTTTGCCCACGGTCTTAGTACCGTCCATTTCTGTACTCCCTACAGAGAAAAGATACGATGCTGAAGATTCATGGGCTTCCGCAACACTATATACACCGAACCTAGAGGTTTAGACCATTGCTTAGCATTTTGAAATTATCTCTTTTCGATTCCGGGTCCATCTGCCCTGGTCCAAGACTTTCTGTGGTTTCCTTGAATAACTTAAGCAAATTCTGGGACAGTTATTGCTACAGAAAAGCAATCTTTTGTTCTCTTTTGTGTTTATTTTATATGCCTCATCTTTCTGACTCAAACCATCACCAACCCTTTCCCACGAATCGTAAAACGAGGCTGAAAGAGGTGTTCCGCCCTACCCAAAAACTTTCAAAATCGGCTCCTTCTGCGTCGATGCAGCGCTGCCAGCGCGATTTCCAAGCATTGAAGGCGTTACGGAAGGCATTCTCCGGAATAGCCTTAAGAGCCGCGGTGCATGCTGCTTGGATCCCCTCTGTCGTCTCAAAATGCTTGCCTTTCATCGGCCTATTCAGACGAGCAAACACAAAAAATCGAGGGGGGGGCACATCTGGGCTGTAGGCCTTGGTCAGGTAGCTATCCACAAGAAAGGCGGTGTGAGCCGGGGCGTTGTCGTGGTGCAACTTCCAGTCGGCTGCGATTTCTTGTCGGACCCGATTGACCCTTCGTTTGAGTCTCTTGAGCACTTCCACGCAAAACTTGGCGTTGACGGTTTGTCCAGGAGGAACAAATTCATGGTGGACGATGCCTTTCATGTCAAAAAAGACAATGAGCATCGTTTTCACTTTGGATTTGCTCATTCTTCTCTTTTTTGGGCGAGGAGACGCCGGCGTGTGCCACTCGGAAGATTTTTTTTTGTTGTTTGTTTCGGGATCATACTCAAAGATCCATGACTCGTCACCTGTGATTACGTTATTCAAAAATTAGGGGTCACTTTCACACATGTTTAAATTTTCTTGGCACACTTCCACTCGCCGCAATTTCTGGTCGTCAGTGAGCACTTTTCGGACCATCTTCGCGCACACCTTGCGCATGTTCAAAGGCACCGTCACGATGTCATGAACCACAGATTTTGGTAAATTTAATATCTGGACAATTAAACGAATACTTAGTCAACGGTCTGAGTTCAAAACTTCGCGCACACGAGTCACGAGTTAGCTAGGAATGCCCTCTACCGAATCCAGTCGGTGCGCGCATGCTCCGAAGTACAGTCGCGGCGGAAGGAAATTAGTCCTATTACTTTCCGGACAAACCCTGTAGTTGACGTATCTCTGACCACTTTTCTTAATTTTGGTTCAAACAATAATCGCTTATACTGATGAAGTAATTAGATTAAAGAAATAATTGAAAGTAACGTGGTGATAAACAGGCCTTACATTTTTCTTTGCGATAATAAAATATTTTGTCCCTAAGTTGGCTTTTTTAAGTGTTTACAGTATCTTGAGAAGGGAAAGATATGAAATTTGAATTTAAAACATAAGCATACAACCAGAAAAGCTACCGTATTCAGATATGTGGTGAAAAATTGATATTTTTAGAAAAATACTTGTTTTGTTATGTAAATGTCATCTAGAAAGATCAACAGCGAAAATAAAGCATTCTTTTCTTCAGATTGAACAACTTTTCGGTTCATTGAAAATAAACTGTGAGATTTTCGGACTCATTGTCTGCATTATGAAAAGGATCTCTCCGTTTGTTTTGTAGATGTTTTCTTTTTTTTTTTGTTGGGTTTACATTTTTCGTTCGCGTATTCACCAGTGTTCCGCATTTTTGAGGAACACTCGGGTCACAAAGGCGCTCAAAAATTATGCCTATTCATTTTTCCGTTGTATAAAAGTACCTTACCATTCACATCAGCTGTAATCCAGGATACAATTGGCTCCTCTAATGCAGCGCTCTCGACTCGGCATTCAAATCTCGCACCAAGATCGCCTCTTGTAAGCGTAATACTCAGCTTCGAGCGCCCCGTTCCAACGCCTTCACCGTCGTCGTGAGAACTGTACGAAGCTGAAAAAGAAATAGAGAAAATTGACTGTGATGGATATGCTTTTTAAAAAGACGCAGCTCGTTCAAATCAAATGTATTTATCTGCTCTTTTTATTGTACAATCAAACACTCAGTATTGTCTAATGCGATTTATAATTTATTATTAACGGTCAGCATGACATAGACTGTTTCAATAAATCATCTAGTTTAGTGAAATTTGTCATAACAAATGAAAAGGGTCCTAGTTGTAATTAACGAATTTAAATGATTCTTTTTGGAGTGAAACTTCTTTGGGTTCGATGGGAGTAAAATTTCAAGGCCATGAAACGACACGTTTTGCAACGTTTTGTCTCGCGACGCGATAGGTTATGAGAATAGAAGGGCGCGCATGCGCATATCGGTATTACAGTCAGCTGTTAGTCACTAGCATCTCATATATTATAGTATAATGTATATTCACTATACTATAGTGTTAAATTAATGTTTTGGTTATATCTATGCAGTTATATTACAGTAAGTGTATTACACTAAATGTTTATTTAACAACAATTAATATTTATTTAAGAGTAAGTATTGTTATGTATTAATTCTAATTCCNCAGTTATGTTACAGTAAGTGTATTAAGTAAATATTAACGTTTCGTCTCGCGAAGCGATAGGCTATGAGAATAGAAAGGTTATATCTGTGCAGTTCCTTGTAGTTATTGATAGTTTACGGTTTCTTAAGCATTTGGAAAAATAAACGGAAGCGAAAAACATTTGACCATTTTTTTGTTATTGAATTACATAAAACGTATTAAAGTAATACTCCTTAGGTAGACTAAAAATAAAATATGTTGGAAAACATAAATCCTGAAAATTCTCGTACTCCCTCTTTCTTTCACCAATCATTACTTATTCGTTAGGAAGTTTCACTTCTTTCACGTGTACTTGCACCTGTTTTTTTTAGACTTCTAATGCTACGTATAAACTAAAAAGCAAAACAGCATCAGTTCAAATCCATTCGTTATATTTTGATATTGATCTCGAGGTATAAACCTAATTGAGCTAGAGTAATCTACCAAATCGAAGTTTTACGTGAAAGTAAGTGGATATAAGCTGTGGGTCAGTAGTATCTGACAAGGCTTAACAAAGCTACGTACCAAATTAACAAACATTAAGAAGTTCTAGCGAGGAGGAGTTAGAGATAGCTTTAGCTTCCGCGACGGGAAAGAAAAGGGTAGAAGTGTTCGAAATGTGGTGTTACAGGCGAAAAAGGAGGATACCGTGGATAGAGAAGGTTAAAAATGAAGAGGTAGTAGAAAGAATACGAGAACAAAGGACGCTATGGATGTCATTAAGGAATAGGCGAGATAGGTTAGTAGGACACCTTCTCAGTCACAAAGGTCTAGTCAGGGATATATTAGAGGCAGAAACAGGAGTTAGGAGGGTAGAAGTAGACCTAGATTAGATTACTGTTCGGAAATAGTTAAGGATATGGGTTGTTCTAGTTTTAGGGATATGCGAAGATTAGCTCAGGATAGCAATTAGTGGAAATGCGTGTCCAACCAGTCTTAGGACGGACGACCTTGTGATGATGAAGAAGTTCTTAGTCAGTAATTTATCTGAATTTCAATCGACAGCGATATACATACAGCCCATGACTATATTATATGAACTTGTCTTTAAGTAATAGTTTCAGTTTGGTCGGGAATTATTGAAACTGTCTATAGAGAGCTGATGAGAACTAAGAAGATCAAAACTGCTATCCAGGTCTGAATTTAACGTTCTTTCAGATATAATGTATTGCTACCTAGTTGGTTTTTGCTTTTTACTGATCCATCTAGTGCTTAAGATAAATCTCTGACCAAGAACGTTGACATTCTTATTAATGTATTTTCTTAATTTGGTTTTTTAGCCTATCATCTACATAAATCTGAATATCAGTAGAGATCGAGATATTGCCAGTAGTTTGATATTAAATCACTTTTTACATAATTATAATTCACGAGTTATAGGTACATATAATATTCTTCGAGATGAATGCAGAAATCAGAAATCAGGGAATACTATTTTTAATAGTCGATACGACGTCATTAATTTGCAAAGAATTCGGACCACTTTCATTACCTAAGACTGAAAGGAGCAAAAAACGCTACGTAAAAACATTTCAATACCAACTATTAATCTCTAAGGTTCTTTAAAAAAGGCGAATGGAAGTTAAAGTTGATGAAAACTGCTAAACTGATATTGACTAGACAGTGAGCTTGTCAATTAATTAAGCTTTGAAAAACCAAATGAAAGAAATGAAATATACAAGACTGTTCATTTTCACCCAGAGTGCCCATACCTTTGGCGTTTCTCTCAAGCAGTATTACCGAGAAAGGCAGATACAATTGATTTCTGATGGATTCATGGATAGTCCGTGTAATACCTACTTAAATATTAATATGAAAAGAATGATAAGGACAGGGAAGTTGTTATATATTTAAAGCGTGATGTCCCTTGAAAATACCTTTTTGTGAATTTGAAAACCAAATACTTATATACAACACGTTTGGTACAGGTTGCAATGGCAACTGACAAAGTTTATTTAGAGAAGAAGGAATGGTATAGTTGAGACAATCAAAATTTGCGAAGACCGCAATAAATTATCTGTGAGAATGGACGTATCTTCTTGCTTGTTTAGAAATAGATCACTAATCTACAAGAGATGACAGAGTTTGGTGGTTAAAGCCGAAGGTCCCGGGTTCGATTTCCAGCGAGGGTGTGGCAACAAATTATCCCTCAGTAACCTGAGGTAGTTTATAGCGAGTGAAAAATAAAAAATGAATTTTCATATTGATATTTCATATTAACCGCTATCAAAATTGTTAAAGTCTTCCATTTATTGTTGTGCTAAACATTTCCGCCAATGTATACCTGTCAATCTGGCCGTCTCCGCTTGTTTTCCTTAGACGCCGCGCCGTTCGCTGTATGACACTAGCCCGTAGGAAAAATTTGTAAATTCCATTCAAAACCATTTGACATAAATGGAAAAATAATTCAAATATTCAATAACAAATCCATTAATATTTACATAGGAAAAATTCCCATTGATTTTCAATGGGAACCAATGCAAAATTTCTAAATTCTATTTAAAACCATTCAATATAAGTGGAAAAACAATTGGGTACGTAAAAATGGAGAAGATCTGGTTTGAGATGATTAAAACTTGTTAAAAAAATGAAGAAAAACGTGCTGAAGTTAATGTGATTGTCAAAGCAAGTTGTAAAAATAATAAACAAGACATTATTTGGAATAATAATTGTCATGTAATTCATATTTTATCTTGATTAAAACGAATGTCATTTAATTACCAATAACAATAATTAAAGGTAAAAAATAAAGAATTGACACTAGAATTTCCATTGGGTTCAGGAATGGAAGTTCCAATGGAACGCAATGGCAATCCCAATGCGTTCAGCAATGGAAGTCTCATTGAGTTCGGGAAAATCCCATTCGTCCCATTGGCAATTCTCCATTTATTACCATTAATATTATTATCAGTGGTAATTAAATGGCATTTTTTTAATGGAAATAGAATGGAAATTTTTCCTACGGGAGAAATAGCTGGTGGAAACGTATTTTAGCGACTGAAAACGCGACGAAAGCGATTTAATACTTTAAGTAGCATTGAGGAATTGATGTGTTTTAGTTCTACTTAATAGTAGCAACACAAGGTCTATCTATCAGTTGGTATAATTCATTGAAATTACTACATATGTCTACTGAAGACACTCACAGCAAGGGATAACGAAAATTTTTAATACGAAACATCAAAAACTACTCCAAAATCGAGAGACCCTTTTTAGAAGTATGGACGATTGATACTTTTTGGGTGGGTCTAACTTCTATTACACTCTATTTTTGTTATTATATATAAATCTTATCCTCTTTAAGAATCTTCCATTCAACGATTCCTCGGTCTCAGTGGAAGGAAGTGGTTGATTTGATATTTTACAGAAAATGATACGGTGTTACGATAACGTTGAATTTATGACCTTATAACTTTTTGTTCCTCCTTTAAAATTGAATAAGGAAACTTAAGAATAAATTAATTAGCTAATTTCACTTTTAGCGCTAGTTGCTGGTAGTTTCAGAGGGAGGAACACGAAATTTAAGCAACGTAATTTCAGGAAATTTATGTTGCTAGTTTGAATTGGTTCATTATTCAAGATTTTATCTTGTCAGAGAGCAGCTTAAGTTTGAAATAAAGTTTCTAGAAGTTTATGAAGGTATTAACTCAAACGGCCCACTATACAAGCCTAACTAAGCGTGACTAAAGGCAGACATGAAACTTTTCCAACCTAAGCTAACTTCCAAACTTTTATAAATTCAAAAATAATAACCATTGTAATGAATAACGGACACGGCAGCCATATAATACTTCTACTAGTACCTTAGTGGACGGAAACCTTCCTGATTACCTTTATTCTAGATTGTACAGTCCTTTATGGTCAAGTATATATTACATTATGTTTCTTTTATTACTTAGCTGCCAATGCAACCTAGTTAACTAACATTTATTACAATGGCGAAAATTTTCAGTCAAACGTATTGTATAACAAAAAATTTATACAATGTATTGGGCATTGATTTTTGGCTTTATTGTTGTCATTTTATCATTATATCAGGAGTAAATATAAAAAGAAGCTTGCCAAGGGATAGAGGTAGACATATACTGAGAAATAGATGTACACCTACTTATAACAAGACTTTATTTTTAGTTTTAGGTAAGGCATGACAATAATAATATCATCATCATAACGACAACAGACCGAAAACTGTTTGAACACACACCTCCAGTTCCACCCACCTTAAGGATGTTTGGGAGGTACAATCGGAGACAAGAGTACATAAAATTAGAAATTCGTGTTTAATTACGTTTTGCAGCATATCATGAGGTAAATAAATACCAATGAATTTAATCTGTTCGGTTAACGAATCTCCATAAAATGACGTGTAAAATTACAATTTTTTAAAATTTCAATAACTTTTTAA